CTTTATTCTTTCATATTAACCATAGACTATGCCTACTGAATCCTTCAAAAAGTATGACTATGATTTTCATTAGGACTTAACTAAAAGTAAATTTTTTTTTTTAAGAGGTTTTTGCTATAGGGTGCATGCGCTCGCCAGATAGACAGAGAGAGACAGAGAGATAGAAAGCGAGAAATCACCACCCAGGGTGGATGGCCACGCCGAAATCCTTCTCCTCCATTCTCCTCTCGGGATCTTGGGCACACACGCGTGAGTTTTAAGCCACTGGGTCCGGGGCTCGAACTGCGGTCGACTATGTGGGAGTCCAGTGACATAGTCATTACGCTAACTGCTGGTTCCTGAAAGTAAATGTTAATTTGGGAAGAATTGGCATATTAAATTATGCCACCCAAAAACACATGTCTTCATTTATTGCAATCATCTTATTTATCTTTTATTCATGCTTCAAAATAGTTTTCTCAATAGGAAAGGGTGTATAATTTGTATTAATTCCAAAATTCTAAATGTTTAGGAACACTAGCTGTCATGCATGGTATCTTTTTTGGTCATATTGTCTAGTTTTATTGATGCAGATAAATACTGATAAGTTTTGTAAGTTATGTTTATGAAAGATTAATAAAGAACTGGTTTTGTAGAGAGCTGGCAGGCCAATTGAAAAAAGGAATTGAGGCCAAAAAAAATGAGATAGAACACACAGAAGAAATAATCAGAAGCTCTCCGAATTAAGTTGAGGGACTTACTACTTAACAATAGTGTCAACTTACAGTGCATTTTTATTTAGAGTATTTTAGATTTACAACAGGTTTGTTGGGATATAACCCAATCCCCATCATTGAGTCAAGGAGCATCTGTATATCTCAATAGTAAATGTAAGACAGAGTGACAAAAATAGTTTTATGAACAGCTATCAATAGATATTCCTAACTCTACTGTGTCAAAATTGACGTAAGACCCAGAACAATGAATCAGACGATCATTATTTTTAAACAATTGAAATGTTAAAGACTCCTTTTTCCAGAAAACTCTAGGCCAAATGAAATTTACAAGTGAGTTCTACCAAATTTTCAAGGAACAGTTGGTTCCTATTTTATCCAAATTATTGGAGGAAGTGGAGAGTAAACACCGTGCACAGCCTGTTTGCTGAGGCGAATGTGGTCCTGTTACTAACCGTAATAAAGACTGCACCAGAACTGAAAAGTATATGACGATTTACCTTATGAGTGTTATTCTTGAAATGCAGAAATAGTTCAGTATCAGAAATGCATACAGCTGTATTCCAGTAAGACACTGTGGACACGAATTTTATATAAATTTTATGTATTATGAATTATTCATCTTTTACATTTTTTCCAACCATTTAAAAATGTAAAGCCATTCTTAGCTCACATGCTGTACCAAAACAGGTGGTAGACCAGATGGCCGTGGGTTTACTGACCCCCTGATGTAACCACACAAACAGATAGAATCAACACACTATTAAAACGAGTTCTGTCCTGGGCTAGCTGGTGGCATGATGGCTAAGGCACATGGATCCTCCATGTCCAACTATGCAGTTCAAATCTTAGTCCCAGTGTGCATGCTCCAAGAGGAGGGAGTGGGGGCACGGTCATCTCCCATGGGGGGGTTCTCCCTCCCTCCCCTTCTCCTCCTCTCCCTCCAGCCAGTGCATGTGCCCTATAGCAAACTTACCAAAAGTACAAAGCAAAGTACTTTATTTGCTATCTTAATGACTTGTTTTCAAATCACATCGCTTTTCACTGGTAAAGCAGATGCTCTGTGTTCCTCCGGTGACCTTTCCTGGTCACTGACATGACTCTCCCATTCTCCCTTGCTTTCTAAGTTCAAATCTTTTACTCACCTTCAGATCCACTCAGCAGTACTCCCTTTTCCATGTCGTATTTATTACTACGGCCAATCTGTTCTACTTCCTGAACACGATGGGGTTTTTCTTTGTTGCTAATGGATTCCCTTTCTGGCCTGGTTCACAGTGGTAACTCTAAACGTGTCATTCATTTCAAGCACCCGCTCCCACTTCTGTCCTCTTCCTACTCGCATGTCAGTCTCGTCTTAGGGTTCACCAAGATGATGAAGACCTTAATGTGCTCTTTCCACTCATGATCAGCAAAGCGAGCGAAAGGAAAGCACAATTGGGAGGAGATCATTGTTTACATATATAAAAGTAAAAAGATGAATAGTAAAGCTATTTTTTGAGTTATTTAATTTTACTTATTCATTCATGTATTTTAATTTGACTAGAGAGAGAGAGAAAGTGAGCCACCAGGTCTGGGACTTGAACCATGGTCAGCCATGTGGGTATGTCCAGTTCCTTAACTACCACGTCACCTGCTGGTCCTCCCCCCAACCTATTTTTTTTTTGAGAGGTTTTTGCTATAGGGCACATACACTCCCCAGAAAGAGAGAGACAGAGAGACAGACAGAAAGAAAGAAATTACCCCCCAGGGGGATGGCCATGCCGCAATTCCTTCTCCTCCATTCTCCTCTCGGGATCTTGGGCATTCACTCACACATGCCTGGCTTGAGTTTAAGCCACCGGGTGGAGGACACAAACTGCAGTTGACTACATGGGAGTCCAGTGACATAGCCATTATGCCAACTGCTGGTCCCATATGGGTAAACAATTCTAAGTAACAGTGAGTTTTCTCATAATTTTGATAACAAAGAAAAGTCTAGGATTTGAAAAAAATATTTTTTTTGGAGAGATTGCTGTAGGGCACATGCATTCACCAGAGAGACAGCAAGACAGACAGAAATTTAGGAATCACCCCCTAGGGGGCACAGCCACACTGCAGTCCCCTCTCCTTTATTATCCTCTTGGGATTTGGGGCATGCACGCACACACACACCCAGCGTGAGTTTTAAGCCACTGGATCCAGGACTTGAACCACAGTCGACCATGTGGGAGTCCAGTGATGTAACCATTACACTATCTGCTGGTCCTAGGATCTTTAAAATTTTTAAAGATTGTCATCCAGTTTCAAAATTTGAGTATATGTTTGATTATACAAGTAAGCTAATTGATTAGGTAAATGCTGGTGCCTATGGGATTTTTTTTTTAATACAGAAATGATTATCAGCTACTTTATTATTTTCTGAATTCCTTGTTCTCTTTTTCACTTAGCATAAGTATGAGATGATAGGTTTTGGGGGTTATTTATAGGCAGGCTAACCTGGATTGAAATCCCAACTGTATTTACTCTGTTTTTCTTTGGTTAGCAATTGAACCTTTCTGGACATGATTTTTTTCATCTTTAAATTAGGTGATAATACTGAGGGGGTAGTATGATATGTAAATAAGATAATATTTGTAAAGTTCCTAGCAAGATACATAGTATGTGGTAAGTACACTATTTTAATTTCCTTTTATTTTAAACATATATGAAAGCAAGCCCTTAGTTTAGATGAATAATTTGCTTTTCTCATTTACCTGTTTTATAAAGGAATGCATTAATTCTTACCTGGGAAATTTAAGTGAATGCAAAAAGTTAATCCTTAGCAAATTTATTTTTAAGTTGACAATATTGTACCCTTAGTTAATTTTTATTTTAAAATTGCATCCCTAACTAATTTTTATAAATAGGTTTCTATCACAAGTATCAACTCAGTTTCTTCAGGTCATTTATTTCTGTTCTCTTTCTTGCGTTTAACAGCTCTGGGATATGAAGAGAGCTTTTTCTGCAGGAATCGTGTTGAGACCATCTCAGTTTATGAGATGACATATTAATTTAAATGTTTCCTCCTTTGTTATTTCTGAATGTACTTTTTTTTTTTTTGAGAGGTTTTTGCTGTAGGGTGCGTGCGCTCGCCAGACAGACAGAGAGAGACAGAGGCAGGAAATCACCCCCCAGGGGGATGGCCACGCCGCAATCCCTTCTCCTCCACTCTCCTCTCGGGATCCTGGGCACGCACGCACACGCGCCCGGCGTGAGTTTAAGCCACCGGGTCCGGGACTTGAACCATGGTCGACTATGTGGGAGTCCAGCGACATAGCCATTACGCTAACTGCTGGTCCCCTGAATGTACTTTTAAAACTAGCCTCTTAGATGGGACCGGCAGGTGACGCGGTGGCTAAGAGCACTGGACTCCCACATGACCAATCGCAGTTCGAGTCCCAGGCCTGGTAGCTTTCTTTCTCACTCTCTCTCTCCCCCTCTCTGGTCAAATTAAAAATAATTAATTAAAGTTAAATAAGATAATTATTAAGAAGAAACCTAGCCTCTTAGGCACCACATTATTATACTGGCGTATACTATGCTAAGACAGAGTGTTGAACGTGTGGGGACTAAGGTTCCTCACAGCTCAGATTCTCTCTTTTTGGAAAGTGCATGTTATCTAAAAATTGTTTCCCAGAATAGATGTCAGGTTCACCCTTCGTTTTTATGTGATATCAGAATACTAGTCTTTAAGTAACTTACAGTTGTATGCGTCTCGAAAAGTTCATCAGTGTGTTTTATATTGTATCTTATAAATCTATTTACATAGATTGTAGAATAGATTAGTCAAATATTCTTATATTTTATGATAATTCAGAACTCATTTTTCTCAGAAAAATATTTAAAGTTAAAATTATCTTCAGTAGTCTATGAATTATATTAAATTGTGCTTTCCTGCATTGTCATTTATAATTATGAATATATTGTCATTTATAGAAATGCTAGTGAGGTCTCTCCAGTAGTGCTTGCTTAGGTGAGAGGCTACAGGAATGAATTACTCATTTTTTTGTGAGCGTATTTGGTGTCAGGTCATGGACTGTGAGTATGTATGTATCTTTTGGTTGAACAGAAAAGTCTGCTTTTCAATTCCCTGGTTAAATGTGGCATGGCATAGTGTAACTCTAGCCAACCACATGGCAATTCTTCCCAAAGTTTTTGAAAGAGTGGGACACTGCGTTTTGATAGCAGTGGAGCGAGGTGGCGGGTGACAGCCATGCAGCATGGTACAAACCGAGTGACCGCGCCCTGTCCCTCTCCATCCTCACCCAGGTGCAGCCGTCGCCGGCATCTACCGAGTGGCGGGGAAGAACATGGCCCCCTTGGAAGCGCTGGTGTGGGGCGTTGGACAGACTGTACTGACATTGATCATCTCCTTTTCAAGGATCCTCGCTACGCTTTGAGGTTTCGGTGGGAGCGTCTTACTGAATTCACGTAAGGAAACAGATGGACAGGTCCCCGAAAGTGGCATTGTTCACGAGCGGAATGAAATTGTGCGAGAATGTGGACCCAGCAGGTCCCCGCGGCAGGCAGACCTCGAGCTGTGTGGCAAGATCGCCCTCTGGTGTCGACGCGATTGCACTACTGCACTGCACCTTACGTGCCTCCGTCCCAGGCAAGGTGCACGAGACACTGCGCGAAGCTACAAGAAAAAGCACCTTGTTTAGCTGCCAATCAGGTTAACACTGGTGTTGAAATCATCGTTCTTAACAGTGTTGTGTTGAGTTCCAGGGACGTTTTAAGGAATTGATATATGTGCCAAACTCTTTTCTTTCTGTTAACATTGATCATGTGACAATTTGCAAGTGTAGCTGTAGATGAGTGCTGTGAACATATTTGACACGAATTCAGGTAACGTAGTAAGATTTTTGTTTTGTAACTCTAAATCCTGTATGAGTGCTGAATAATGAATCGTTTAATATGAGAGAAATTATTTGGTTTTTAATGTTGAGCGTTTCTGGGATCTGGGGCTTTAATGTCTTTTGGCATTATTGTTATTTAATTGATGTGGAAAATAGGGGTCTTCTTAATAGAAGACTAGCTAAACCATTTTAAGGACTCGAAGTAGGTCTGTAGGGTGCGTAATCTTCACTAACTTAAGTAACACCCTTTTAATAGTTCCCCTCATGCCTCAATGTTCTATTTTATTTATATTAATTAAAAAACCTTATGGGTCACACACATTGATTATAGTTTGTATGTCACAAAAATATAATTTGAAAATTTTCATATACACTTTGTAAGGAAAAAAATCTAAAATGCACGTTGCATTCTTTAAAGAAAGTATTTGCCTTGTATCACATGGAGAAAGCATCTTTACAACTGGTCTCTCAGTAGGATTTTACTACTTGTTACATATATTTTGATTTTTGACAAAACATAAGCAGTCTTTCATTCTGGAGTACTAACTGTATCTACATTGTGGCCTCAATTAGGCTGTAGAAATAAAAAGTAACAGGTCGATTGTATAGCATAGGAAGAGTAAGAAACTATCTTACTTTGGACATGTCCCAACGCCATAACTTTGCTAAGTAACTATTGGGGGAATATAGTAAATAGTTTTGAAGTTCAATAGGTAGGGTCAGAGTATCAGTACAGTACTGAGCATATATTTGAGTGATTCATTTCAGTTGCGTTCTTGAGTTATGCTGTTAAATTATGATTTAAGTTTATTTAAACTTGTGTGTTGTGGTTAAAGTTTATAGGAATCTATGATGAAATTTATAAAAAATCATTTCAAAGGGTTTTGGTAATACAGAACTGTTTATAAGAGTACAAGAAATAAGAAAAACACAGAGCTTGGTTGAATTGATGTCCCAGTGAGGTTTTCTTCTTTTCTTTTCCTTTTCTTTTCTTTTTTTTTTTTTTAATTTGGGTGGATTCCAGGTGCAATTATAAACATGCTAACTCAAAGAAGCATTATAGAGATACCAAGTTAAGACAACCCAAAAAGCAGCCTGGCATGCTACACTCTCTGTTTAGCCCAGGTTGGTTAAAAAGTAGGTTTTCGTTTAGGTCTCATTTCAATTTAAGACTTCTGTTACTCACACCACTTTTTCTCTACCAGAAGGCAGGGCATAGCCCGCGTGCAATTATAAACATGCTAACTCAAAGAAGCATTATAGAGATACCAAGTTAAGACAACCCAAAAAGCAGCCTGGCATGCTACACTCTCTGTTTAGCCCAGGTTGGTTAAAAAGTAGGTTTTCGTTTAGGTCTCATTTCAATTTAAGACTTCTGTTACTCACACCACTTTTTCTCTACCAGAAGGCAGGGCATAGCAACAACTTAACAATGAAGAGTTGGAGGGATACTCTGACCCATAAGAAGCCATTGAGACTTTCCTAACACTGTGGCCTGGAAATTTGTTGAGGTTGTGTTTAAACAAGCAGTTCTTGAGTTCTTAGAGGTCTTTGAAGTAAATCTTAAAATGGGTTATTTTTATTAGGGACACGCCTGGAATTATTTTTGTATGATTTTATATTCCTGGTGTTTCTCAAATTAAATTTACATACAACTTTTCCAAGTCAACTTAATTTCTCCTTTCTGTTAGCCTTGACTCGTGTGTTCTGTTGATAGTTGAAAGCATTCCTATTCTTCCAGGACTATTACAATAACGTGTTGAATTTGTTTCAGACCTACAGAAGGAGTATTTATTTTAAGATACGGTTATTTTATGATTTAAGAAAGTTGTCATGGAAAGATAATAAATATAAAGCATGTGGTTTGTAATCCAAAATTTACCAGAAAATAATGTGGTCACATAAAATGTATGAATGCATGGACCAAAGAGATGTAAACTTCTGGTTTTACTCTAGAATGAAAGTATAATGGAATGGATAATATTTAGTTTATCGAGTGCCCTGCAATTACCAAGTTGCTTTACATTATGAATTGTGTGTGTGTGTGTGTGTGTGTGTGTGTGTGTGTGTATTTAATTTTTCAGAGTATTTTGGTTTCTTTGCTCTTTTCAGTTACTTCCATTGGGATTTTGTATAGCTGTCATTCTTTTGATGTTTTGAAATGCAAGTGAATAGTATGAATTCATGAAATTCTCTTAATAGCTATTTATATGCTGAGTTTTTTAAAACGTTGGCAGTTTTCCTATTAAGACAGAAGTTTTTAATGATATATATCCACACATATATATCGTTATATACATATATAGAGCGCTGCTATATATGAATTCAGTCTAACTGGAAAGCTTTTGTTCCGTGAACACTCAAGTTCTAGTGGAGAATTTGATATATTTGTTCAGTTGAATGCTCTTTTAAATAGATTTGAGGGTGTTTGAGATTTTCAAATTTGGGAGAAGTTTTCTTGGTTTAATAGCTCCAGAGACCCTTGTTTGGGATATGACAAAAGCCCTTATTGATATATTTGGGTTACATTTTTTTAAAAATTTGTATGGGGTTTAGTAGTAAATTTTCTTTGTGACAAGTGCAAGAAGGAAGAGAGAAGTCCTCTGTAGGCGACACTCCTTTATTTAAAGAATATTTAGTAAAGTATTACTGATGGTGAAATAAGTTTCCTAAAGAGGGAAACCCTGTATGCCTAAGCTCGTTATTATTTAGCATACTGGTTAGAAATGACCATCCATGAGAGTTAGTAGGAAGGCCTCATAGAAGCTCCAAATAATGCTTGAAGCCTTGAGAAGAAGGAGGTGCGTGTAGTCTGCCCACGGTGCACGTAGTCTTGTCCTACTGGGTGCCCAAGATGAGGAAGGTCCTAAATGATGACCATGTTCTGTCCACGCAGCTTAAAGGTCTCCATTTCGGATCTGAATGTTGACCTAGCAGTGTTACAGTTGTTACCCGGGATGTACTCTCAGTATTTGTGGCACACATTTCCACTGCCCAGAGGGCTTAATTTGTACATGAAGTCAGAGAAGTAAAGAAATGGGTTGGCCGGTACATCTTTTATTTGTGATGCAATGAACAAGAGTCATTTAAAATCAAAGAATGTTGTTGGAAAGGTCTTTCGAGACCCTCCAGTTAAGATGAGGGGCAGAGCTGCCACGTTTGATGTGCTGCAGCTGACACTCACACCAACGAATTCAACTTCGTAAACTACTTTTTGCAGATCTAATATGTAGAAGGTGTTCTACCAAGTGCTTTCTATAGTAAATACAAGAATGGCCAAGATAGGAGTCTTGATCCACCAAGAGCTAGCAAGATGATTTTAATTTTAAATTTTAAAAAGGTTAGGACAGCATTCTGATTCTAGTTGACCATTTACATCCTATTTTCCCTCCGTTTCTGGTTTCCCCAGCTCATTTACTAAATGGAATCCAGTAACTGAGTGATCCTGGCTGTGACACACACAGTAAAGAGGATACAGGACTCTAACCAGTGACATAGATTTGAATCCAAGCTCTGTCACTAGTTGATGTTTTGATCTTGAGGAAATCCTTTAACTCCTCTGAGCTTCAGTTTGTACTTTGTCAGATAAATTGACACCTCATGCAATTACTTCAAGGGTTGTGTGAGATTGTTTATGTGAGATCGTTGATAGTAAATAATCAATTGATACCATTAGAATTTTTAGAACATTTACATTTTGCAATACCAATTGCATATGTTGTTAAAATTCACCCATTTTCTTCCATTTTCATATGTTCCCCACATATGTTTTAAAAAACAAACTAAACTTGCTTTCTTTACCTCCTGTTTACTCCTTTTTAAATTTTATTATTTTTAAAAGAATATTTATTTTAATGTGATTTATTCATTCATTATTTTAATTTGACCAGAGAGAGACATACAGAGAAAGAGAAAGTGAGAAAGCAAGCCACCAGGTCCAGGACTTGAACCATGGTTGGCCGTGTGGGAGTGTCCAGCGCCTTAATTACCATGCCACCTGCCCCTTACCCCTTTATTTTAAAACTCAGCAGTTATTTATTGGAGAACACTTCAGAGAACTGCAGGTGACAGAAATGGCCAGAGCAAGCAAGAATGCATGATGGGTCTTGTTTACTATTGGTTAAAACAGGGAAAGGGTAGAGTTAGCTCACGTTGACTTCTTACCTCATCCTCCCTGCTTCCCTCAAGTCCATTCAGCCAGCATTCACTGAGTCTGTACCATAGGCACATGATTTTCCTTGTTTTAGGGGTAGAAAGTGAGTCTGTCCCTCAGACATCTGCCTATTTTCTTCCACCCCTGGGCATTTCACTCCCTAGCATAGTGTCAATGCTGCAGGAAAATAGAACTGGGCTTTCGTGTCTACCAAGTCCTTCCTTTCACAGACCCCAAGTAATTAAGCCCTAGTTTGTTTTGTTTCGTTTTGGCATAATCTTAAAGGAAATACCATTGATTAAGTCCATTTTACAATTCACAAAATAACACAATGCTAAGAGCACTTTCTGAAATATTCTCCAACTACTTGACTCTGGCTCTTACCAGTTCTTTCACTCAAAAACACTTCATCGGAATTTCTGCCAATAGGAGTGACTTATTTTGTTTTTAAGATGCGAGGAATGTAGAAAATAACTGAAGAAATTGTAGTACACTTAGTTTGCATAGATGCTGGTAACCCTTGTTTGTTGATTGGGTAAATGACGGTTTCTTTTAATAATCAGGGCTGAGACTCTTGAGTGGCTAAAACTGACCAGTATCCAAATAGTGTCTTAGTCTCCCTAATTCGCATCCTTTTTATAGCATGTTGGAAGGAGATTCTTCAGGATGAAAAGGGTATCATTCGACTGAGAACTATAACGCTTCTCAAACGTGTGGTACTTGGTAGCAGAGGAAAGTGTAGGACAAGAAGAAATGTTGGCGGGTTTATGCACAAAAACAAGGCATATTTGATGGAGTTCCCTGTTACATGAACATGGTCTGCTTTCTGTTAAAACTGGGAGCCACACTGCGTGTGTGTCCTGCATGCTGGCGTACTGTGTGTTTCTTCACGTCAGGCTCCACCGACCACTCATTTTGAAATCATAGGATATTTTTTGGTGTGTGTGTGTGTGTGTGTGTGTGTCGGTAGATTTGTGCTTTTAACTTTGCCATCTCAGTTCCATGTAGACAACACGGTGTTGTTTAGGAGGTCGCTGAATTAAGTATCTAAAACTGTGTCTGGAAATTTGTTTGTAGGAAGTCACGCTTACTATGTTTTTAGAGTTTGGAGATGTGTCAGTTAATACTTTACTAAATTAGTGGAAACACTCATATTTCGGAGCAAGTCAAGCTACCGAGTAATCATCTCTTTTTCTGAGTTTAGGTGGGCTCATTTTCACATTCTCTACATTCATGTTTTGAACTCATATAATGACCGTTTCTTGATTTTTGAGAACTGATTTAGCAATTCCTTAAGAATCTCCTTCTCCCTTCCCTCAGATGTTACGTTACTATAAACATATGTACAATTTGTTGGTGAAATTTGAAGTGCTGGTTTAGAAGAGAATATTCTTAACTCCTGTGGTTATGTAGCTATAATTTTAATGAACAATAAAAACTACAGATAAGTCAGGAAAGCATGACCCTCTTACATATCTTTTTTAGATTACATACTGCACTGTTAAAATCAACCCTCCGTAGTAACATGACTATCCCTTTTGGGGAATGTATTTAGGAGTGTAACTGAAACCAGAAGGCAGTGTGGCATAAATACATCCAAAGAGGAACTGTGAAATGTAATCCTTTGAACTCCCTAACTGTTATACTTTTCTCTCTAATATATATGTTGATAATTATGAAAAACCATCACTTT